GCTGCCGCAGCATCCCGCGTCGCACTCCTCATACCTCGCTAACGACGCTGCCGCAGCATCCCGCGTAGCACACGGAGGGCACGCGCACGCACCACATAACGCACCGCATCTCAATCATCGCACAACGCACGACGACGTTGCCAGGAGGCGCCGCAGTGGCGCGCCGTCGCTACGACATGAGGTCATCATCATCGTCAACAATGTCGTCATTGTCGTCGTCGTCGTCGCGCGGGTCAAACTGGTCACGATTGTCGAGCATCTCGGCGAATAGTCTGTTGAGAGGCAGCTTTGCTTCCTTCTTGACATTGAACCAGTACTGCTTGGCCATGACGTCGATGTGGCGCAGCACAGGGAGAGCTAGCAGCACGGTGCTGGCTCGCAGAGCGTCGGCCGGGGCCTGCTTACGACACACATACTGCAGCGCGGCGATCGCATGACCTCGCAGCTTCAGCAACGCCTCTGGTGCCTGCAGGTCAGCATCTGTAAGACAGACACGACGTTAGAGAGAGAGAGAGAGAAGGAGAAGGAGATGGAGAGGAGGGGAGGAGGGGAGGAGAGAGAGGGAGGAGGAGGATCTGGGAAGGGACGGCAGCGAAGGCTGGAGTGGAGGGAGGTGGCGAATCAAGGTTGACCGTCGCCAGCTTCGCACAAACGCCCTCGGGAGGAGGGGAGAGGAGGAGGAGGGGAGGGAAGGATGGCAGCGGAGTGAGAGCTTTAGCTACAGTAGTCTCAAAATGAATCAAAACAGCAGCAATCAACATTAATATTATCATCAAACATCATCAATAACATCACCATCATTGTGTCTTCAGCATCTGCCGTCATCATCATGATCAGCATCACTAATCATCATCTAATCATCAAGTCACGATCATGCAATGATCAGCTCACTAATCATTCATTCGATCATCATCAATGCATGCATCATTCATCAGTCATCAGCAAATTAGATCATTTTCATCCTCCTCATCATCGCCCGTGCATCAATGCACCCACTGCATGCACCGATCATCGTCATCATCATCAATCAATCCATCATCCACTCAGTCACCTCAGCCATCATCAGCGTCATCGCTCACCACAATTGAAGAGTACTAGAGCCTTTAGAGCGACAAACTCCTCCCGGGACATCGGCCGGTTGCCAAACTTTCCGAGGAACTTCAGCATGACGGGGTACATGTCCTCAGAGTTGATGGCGCGGAACACCTGCATACGCGATAAACACATGGCTGTCAAACCTATCCCAGGTGTTGCGCGCCGGTGCTCGTGGCGGTTCGGCGGGTGTGAAGCGCGTGGTGATCTGTGGTAGTGTTGTGAGTTGCAGGGGAACGCGGTGTGTCGTTGTGCGTAGTGTTGTGAGCGGTTTCCCGCGAGGGAAGCCGGTGAGGTGGTTCGTGGCTAGGTGATTGTGAGGATAGGAGGTTGCATTGGATTGTTTACGTGGCAGTGTTTGTGGGGTTGCACGGGTCTGGGCGCGTGGTAGTTGTGGGCAGTGTTGTGGGGATTGCAAGGGTTCGCCGGTGGCTGTTCGTGCGCAGCTGTCTGGTGGGGTTGCAGGGCTTGCGGTGGCGTGTTGTGAGGCCAGTGTTGTGGGGCCCTTTGCAGGGATTGGCGGTGGATGTTTGGGCAGTTGTTGTGGGGTGTTGCAGGGTTGGCGGTGAGTGTTGTGGCAGGTGGTTTGTGGGCGTTCCCGCGGGGTGGCGGGTGGTGTTGTGGTACGTGTTGCTGACGGTTGCCATGTTTGTGGTGGTGTTGTGGCAGTGTTGTGAGGCGTTGCCAGGGTTGCGTGGTGTTTGCGGCGGCTGTTGTGGTGGTGCTTGGGCAGTGTTGTGGGGTTGCACGGGTTGCGATGGGTGGCTCTGTGCAACAGTGTCGCCGGGATGTGCAAGTGCGGTGGTGTTGTGGCAGGTGTTGTGAGGTTGGGTGGTGTTGTGGCAGATGGTTGTGGGGTTACAAGGGTTTGCGGTGGTGTTAGTGGCAGTGTTTGGGCGTTTGCACCGGTTTGCGACGGTGTGTATTGTGCGAAAGTGTTGTGGCGGCTTGCAGGGACTATGCGGTGGGTTGTGAGGCTTGCAGGGTTGGGTCGGTGTTGTGGCAGTGTTGTGGGGCGTTGCGTGTTTGCGGTGTGAGTCGTTTTTCTTGGCTAAGTGTGAGGTTGCAGGGCTTTGCCGGTGGTGTTGTGAGGCTGTTGCACGGTTGCGGCTGGTGTTTGTGAGCATGGTTGTTGTGTGAGGCTTGGAGGTTGCGGTGGTGTTGGTGGCAGTGTTGTGGGTTGACNTATATATATATATATATATATATATATATATATAGAACAGTCCGCGTGTGTAGGCATTCTAACTTTGCAGACTCAAGTGTGTAGAGGGCATATATACACGACAGCAACAGTTCAGGTGGCAATACGACCAAGAAAATGACGACCATGCCTACATTAAATGCCTTCTTGGTAATCCTCTGTTTGGTAAGTGATTCGAAACGTTCATAGATAGAGTTTTGAATGTGCGCGCTTGCCTGCTTATGTATGTGCATGTGTACGTGCGCGTATGTGTGTGCGTGTGTGTGTGTGTGCTTGCCTGCTTACTTATGTGCGTGCGTACGTGCGCGCGCGCGTATGTGTGTGTGTGTCTGTGAGTGTGTGAAAATAGATCTGAAATCAAGAAAATTATCTTGTCTTTGGAAAATTTATCTAGTTTTAAGATTCCTATTTTTTACGAAAATTTTCAAAAATCTACGACAAGATTTTGTTAAGCGATTTATACTATCTAGGTTTGTTTTAGTTTCAAGAATAATAATCCTATTTTCGTGTTAATGTTAAATTCCTAGTTTTCTATATATAGCGGGCATGTTGATAAATTGTATTCTAAACAAGAGACCGCAGAGCGTCTGGGCTCATCTGTAGGTGTGTGGCTAGGATTAATAAACGTAAATTTCAGGTTACGTGGCGTAGTACGGCACATTCTGTTAGGCGGCAGATATGGGGGCAGACACCAGTTGCGTACACATCATTGTTAGGAGCACGCCCACTATCGGCAGATGGAGGTGGGGATAGGGGGTGGGGAGGGTGAGGGAACGGGCGGGGAAAGGGGTGGGCGGGAGGGGCGAAGGGGGATGGGTGGGGGGAGGGGGCTCTAATAGGGCAAAAGCAGTTCACTCCTTTGTTAACAGTCAACAAATCAAATGTTAACCTTCCTGCTTGAGGTCAAAAAGGTTATCAGACACTTACTCTCAACACGTCAGTGGAAAGCAGATTTCATGGTCCTTTCCAATAAAGCATAAAAATGCTAGGCTCAAGCCGGCTGAAACCAACAAGTTTTTTCAATCGCCTGTCAGACCATGTCCTCAGAAAAATGTCTAAAATCTGGCCCTGTGCCGCGCATTGACACTTTGACGGCTGTTGAAGCCTACCAATTTCGGCACAGTGAATGGCTTTTGCCTACCATGATCGCCACACAACGCAACTACCACGAGGCTTAGGTCGAGCCGTTTAGATTTGTGCCGTCAATTCTGCATTTCCTCCCTATACCTTAAGTTAAGGAAAGGGAATGTTCCCCCTTCATTTTACACCTCTTGACCTTTGACGCGTTTGAACGCCCAGACTTCGACTCCCAAACTCGTTTTGACGATCCCCCCCGACGTCCGCGAATATTCGTGCCGTACGTCAAGCGTTAAGATTTGTGGCCCGAAG